CTTGTGACATTTCTCCAGCTGGGAGCTGGCTGCATGGATGGGTTGTGAATCCAGCAGACTAGCTTATGAGTGCATGTCTCTGCTGTATGTTAAACACCAATAAAAAGTTAAATATTTGCTCAAGGTTACAGATACTGAGTTGAGAAATTCCTGATGACATTTGAGCTGGCCCAGCTGGGTCCCTCCTAGGCTACCCAGTTCCAGGACCTAGCAACTTTTCATTGTTTAATGCTGAGTGGAGTTGGGTTTCTGTCTCTTGCCACCGAGAATCCTCATACCCTAACTCACAGGCATCTTTTGTCGTAGGCCCACTTCTCTGAAATCTGAAAACATTTCTTGCCTCATTTCAATCTTGTGAAATAGGTGGAGGCTTCCATGATTTTATACAACTCCACCTCCCTGATCACAATCATTGGTCTAGCACTGGTACTTCACCTAAGTGGAGCCAATCACAATAGACCATCCAACAAGTCAATTTGATTGATCTGTAGATGAGCCAATCACAATCTTTCCCTGGGATTTTTAGCCTTGGGACCCAAGGCTGGTTGATGTGAGCTTTGCAGCTGCTGGGTGCAATGTTTCTGTGGTGTGGAGAATGCTGACCCCAGAGACAAATGATGACTGGCAGGTAAGAGAAGGTATAATGGGAATGTCCCAGTGGCCCTCAAATTCTTGGTTCAATGGCCCTGAAGCCCAGAGGCACTTACTTGTTTATTTGAGGGTCAATTGAGTTCTCTTTTGGCCTAAGTTAGAGCAAGCTTGGTTTCTGTCACTTGTATACAATAAAGACCTAAGTAATAACGGTCCCTCATCAAACACTGTAATCCATGCACACACACATCCCTCATTCACACCGGCCTGTAGACACAATCCATGACACACCACCTCAGTGCACATGTCTTTATTTCTGGATGGTATAAAAGAATAAACTTAAAAAACACCCCAAACCAAGCACCCTAATGGCTCCCCCAAAACAATGTGACCCCTCTTCCCACCCTGATAAATAGAGACTTCTGTCTGTCGGTCCACCCTCCCAATGCCATAACCCTCTCTGCTATAGACATACTCTGGGTATATATTACTCTACTCGGCAATAGACATCTCCCGAAAATAGAATTCCAGCCCTGCCACCTGACTCTCCCTCGGCCCCATGTCTCTGGGACCCCGCCCCCCCCCCCCCTT